TATGCAGAGCTTTATACACTGTAGCATACCTAGACTCCACTCGATATTTTCTGCCTTAACTGTGAGGTGGCAGTAATTCCCCGGAACTAGGAGCCAGAAAGACGCCCATCCAATTGCCTTGAACCTGGGGTACTTGTGGTTCAGCAAATTTGGCGACCTAAGCGGGCTTGGACCACATGGCTGGAGGATATGGCTGTTAGAGCTGAATAATTTAACCGCACGTTGAAACTGCTCATCCGGTATGCATAATACTAGGTCCTGGGCTTATGGTTAGCTGGCATTCTCTCAGGTGCTCACACGATAGAGGGTCTTCACGTACGCGTGGTACACGCGTAGTTCCATAATAAATCAGTGCTTGTTCTTGAACAAAGCAAAATTGTATCCCAGTATCGGTCAAGATGGATAGCATCTTGGATACTTCTTCGTGAGGCTGTAGCCCCTCGTTTATTTCTCCGACTGCGAGTGGATCAAGCGCTGGAGAGATGAACAGTTTCTCAGCATTAACTTTGGGATGGTCCATATTTCCGACTTGTGAATTTAGATATGGATTAAATATCTAATAGTGTTATTATTGTTGAAAGGTCCCCTCGAGAGCTGGAAGAACAATGAGATGCCTGCCAGGTTTAGTTAGGTTGGTAAGAAGGAGATGAGGGGAGACGGGATCAAAGCAGAGCCCATGGTCACATGATGCCATTGGGAACGTTTGCCCACCTAATCAGGCTGCAAACGGTTGCTGGTGGGATTTTACAAAGTACGATCAGATGTGGGCCTTCTTAATATTGGTTATTGAGATTTCGATTGTGGATCTGAGGGTCTATCACCGTATCACACTGTTCAGCGGTCGTGGGGAAGGGCGCGGGAAATAATGCTTTGTTTACCAGCTTACTCGCCCCTTCGGCTGGATATCATTGTTGCCTCAGACAGCTTTTATGTCGGTTTCACGCTCCTTCGTTCCCATGTCAGTATCGAAAAGTTCGATCCCTCTTCCTATCCTATCCTTGGCAAGTGCAGTCACCGTAGCGAGACGGCAATGTCGATTACGTCATTCTTGAAACCCGCTGCCGTCTAATACAAGCACTTAGGATATTTTCGTTGCACGAAGTCACTGAGAGGAATTGCACGACCAAGCAATGAATCAGCAAAAGCATTTTCCAAACAGAGAGAATAGGCTTACTCCCGTTACAGGCAGTTTGCGCAACAACGCCACGGGATGATCTAGGATTTGTGTGTTAGAAACCACACAGTTCATACCCAACGGACCTCATTGCCAGGTGGAGAAAAGCCCGTGCTTCCCCGTTTGTTCTAACTTCAGCGCGTGGTCGCCAGCTTGTTGTGGACTTGGGCGCACATGTTCCCTCTCGTCAATATATTTGGCGGACAACTCGTCCCATGTTATGTATCATTTTGGGTCCCGAGTGTATCAGTTCTACACCTCGTCAGTAGGTGGTCATCAAATTGGGAGAGGCGCGTACGGATTGCTCTTGAGGCCATTGGCAGTGAGGATTGCACAACACGGTTTGGTTGTGGTATTTGTGTCGCATTATCAAAGAGAATGCATCTTGCCCAATATTCAGTATACCGAAAATCTATAAAACTTGGTCACTTATCTATAGAAGCATCTTCCAACCGTAGCAGAGTTTCTCGTGGCAACAAGCCCAAACGAGATCTTGTTGTCATTCGGTGTGTACGCAGGCTTGCTGCAACTCCCACTTCAGCGGACTAATATCTGTTAAAAAGGCTTGTCCCAAATTTACCGTATTCTCAATGGGCCTGGAGGTGTCGGCTCGGCCTCAAACCAAGTCAGCCATCTTACTCCGTCCAATAAGAGGACTAGGGAAGTGTAGGAGATGCAACATCAAAACTATGATAATGTTATATAACAGTTTGAGAAAACGAATAATTGAAAGACAGGACACTGTCGCATGAAAGCTGCCTGTTATTAATAAGTCCATAAAGTTGATTTTATAGACTGCGCACTTTGATGTGCTAAGCACTATACTCTATACCTGATTAAGAATATTATGATAGCTGGTTGATTTTGCAGGTATTGATGTCTAATATTTGCTTATGATATAAAGCTATTCTAAAGATAATAACTGAATGAATATCTGACCATGCTTAACTAGTAAAGTTTATTATTACTTTTCTACGGGCCCTACTTGTCCTTTCCCTTGGCCTGCAGGATATCCATATCCCGAGCTTAGATCATAATAGACTAGGTCCGGCATCTCAAATGGTCCACCCTATTTGGGTGAGAAACAGATGGTTGTCTACGCGTCCTACTAATCAGTGAGGCCGTATTTTGATGCTGGTCAACTAAAGGAGTAGAATCAGGGTGTTCAAATTTCAGTGCCCGGTGAAAATCCATCAAAATAAAGGGGCAAGTTTGTCTCTCCACCAGAGCATTTGCGTACCAGTAGGGCAGCCGTGGTTTCAGTTGAACACAGCCCTGGCTGGTCATCTTTAGGAATATGCACCTTATTTGAACCATATACCTACCTTTTCCTGATCTAACCGGCCCTGCTTTGCACAGAGCCTGGGTAGAGTACCTTGTTGGTGCGAGGTCTTTCACCCAGCTACCAGACGGACACTCTTCAGACGGACACTATTCGAGGGCCTATTGTGCACTGTCATCACCCAGTTGAATGGACACATTCTTCGACTGATCATTATACTTTGCCGAGTTACTTGGGATGAGGAGAGTTTTGAAGGTTGATTAGGCAATTTGTCCGACAAGACTGCTGTACTATTCTATCTCTCGTGATGAGCTTTACGATGATGACAAGGTAGGGTTGTATTGTGTTCGGCAGACACAAATTCCCCGCTGGTGCTTGGTGGTGCTCGGGGTCAGTTTGTGACCCAAAATGCCCGATCAGTTCGACGCGTTCTCACCGCGCATCAAGACCTGAATCCCCCGATACTGCTTTGGCTTTGGCGCAGTATGACACGGCTCCATACCAAAGAGAGCTTGAATAGGCTGGGTGCGACCATGAGTCTTTCAAAATGTGATGATGGACTTTTGAGGTGCCTGATCGCGGTCGATGGGGGACCCAGTGGGGGAGCTGGATGACCTGCAGACCAGGGGTGAGGCAAATGAGGCGGGTGAAAAAAGGTAAAGATAAGAAAAATTGGGGAGGTGGGGGGAAAGTGGTAAAGTGGCACAAAATGATGAAAAGATAGTCAAAAGATGGCGATAAATGGTAAAAGATGAGAATGGAATCATCGAGTAGACAGTCAATTAATTTGCAATACCGTCTCCGGGAACGGGATGCGCAATCTGGGCGGGCATTAATCTGTTCAGAGAAGTAAGATTGCCCAGGCGGGCGCCCCATTTTACCACCTTCTGATAAGTCTCTGTGATCGATTGGTTTTGCCTTTGGGCCATCAACATCTTGCTGGGGCTAGAGGAGGCTTGGGACTAGTCCTTTTGGCAAATTATTTCACGATTTCAACTTGATGCTTGCCTAAAGAATTTGAACGAATCTTACGTCTCGGGTTTCAGCCTCTGGGCTTAGTACGCGAGCTGACCTATAAGCACATCACAACTGGTATGACTCCGTGCTACCTGGGCCGAGAGACACTAATGGGAGTATTTATCCCCCGCCTACCAAGAGAACATTTTGGACTCTCGTGTAAATCCGACAATCGACGTGTTGTGACAAGGTGATTAAACCCGAAATTGGAGGGAATGCCTTCGGATTGATTGCCATTGTTAAGAGATGTACAAAACAAACACCATGTAGAGGAAGTCCTCCGACATAGGAGGATGTTCTGAATTCACAGCATTAATCTGACACCCTGCACCTAGTAGTCATCAGCAAAACACTAAGACGATACTGATCTGGGCAGCACATGGGAATGTAGAACCCGACGAGACGATCGCGGTTATCTGGACGAGCGAAACAGCCGGAAAATCTTCTTGCAAAAGTCAATGATTAGGTCCCGTCTGAGCTCAGGGCGTCACGAAATATTGTTCGGCCGGACTCCCTGGTGCAAGACTTCTAAGGGACGGACCTCGGACCCCGCAAACTCACGTGTAATCATCTATGTATCGGCTCATCCGCCTCGGCCATAACAAGCATGTAGCGTAGCCGGCAAGCTCCCTGTAGGAGATAGAACATAGCCAACCCGTTTGGCCCCAAGAAGACCAGAAAAGCAGATCCCCGTGTTTGCCAGAATCAGAAATATCACCTGAGGTCAGGTTCGGCGATGCGCAGCTAGCGCGAGACCGGGTAGACGTTCGACGTGCGTTAGAAGTGATAGGAGCTCCACTGCGCTCCTATTGGCTACCGTACCCTCTCCACGCTCAGGTTCGTCCTGTAGCTCCTCGCTTTTTTGAGACAGAGAGAACTTGTGTGATTATTCTCCTGCTTTCCTTTCACTTCCCCCCAAAGTAGAAGTATCCGAGACGAAATTGGATCAATAGTACATGGCGCTGGTGCACAATTTGCGCAGTGACTCCTGAAGCCAGGAGGATCTACTTCCACTTTCTTCCGACGGGGATTGTACCTGGGTGAGATAGATCAACGTCAGCCTACTAAACTGGCTGAAGGGATAAGGAGACTACCAGGTGAGGTATATCAGTACAAAAAGGCAGTATGTGAATGTGAGGTATTTACAGGTGATGTCCGTCTTCCTCCATTCTTTCCCTATTTTCTATCTAACAATTCTCTCTACCTTGATACCCTTACTCGATCTTCATCGTGGGGTTCGTCTCCTTGTGACCGGCCAAGGAATAGACGGAGCCGGCTGGTAGGGGATCGTCTCTTAATCACAACAGTCCTGCATGTCTGCTGGACTCTTCGTTATGAGGTGGACTAATAATCATATTCAAAAGATCAAATAAGGCCGTGAAGAAACCAGTACAGCTGAATTAATTTGATGGACTCTGAGGAAAAGCGAAGTCTTAGAGAAGTAATTTAGACTAGGAACAATAGCAATGTAAGAACGAGTGATGTATGCTGCAACGACGCTGTCCTGATATATAAGTATCATGTCTGGTTGGCCAATTTTACTCCTCAAAGTGAGTAGGTCTCTTTGATATACTATATAGACAAGACTAAAACTGCACACATCCCAATACCCGATAACCAAAGCTCTGGTCTGATACACCTCTTTTTACACTACAATCGAAAGTTAGCAACCGCCTTCCATAGCAGATTGATACATCATACGGTGTCCAGGATGCATAACATCTCTTAAATATCCCACACACACTTGCCCTGTGCAGCATCGATGCTCAAGTCACACTTCGTCAAAAGGTTGCTGCAGCAGTCCGCACAGCCCTCCCATGTGCAACAGTATTCGCCGACTTGAACGCATTGTTGGTCTACTCCAAAGTTAATTCATATCTACAAAGCTTTTAGTAGAAGTCCGCTTACCATCAGGAAAGTCCTGCCGGTTGCTCAGATAGGCATTAGAGGCGCTGGCCATGCCAAAGGAAGCAGTGAGTGCGAGAAGAGCGAAGAGCTTCATTTTTTTTTTGAACTGCTTAATAAGCAAGATGCCGTGAGGATCACTAGGTTCGATGACGACAGTAAAAGTGCGATTGATGGATGAGATATTAAATATTTATAACTCTGTTTATGGACCCTCGGGCTTCACAAGGGCTATGTCTTCGGGGACTACTTCAATGATCTGACTGTTTATCGCATGTAGGCTGCTACTTGGGCTGAGAAAACCAATATTAGATAACTATTACTATCTCAAATTCTCTGACTAACTAGCTAGTGCAGCGAAATTTGCCATAAGGGGAAAGGTGTGCTGGATTAGTGGCAAGGATCTGCATTCTTAGGAGATCGCAGATTGGGTCTTCATGAGAATGCAGTCGCCAAACTTGAATTAGTCAACTGAAGGATGATCAGCGAGCTCTAGCAATGATCATCAATTATAATTACAACCGCCAGTACAAAATCATCTGGACAGACCAGGTCTAATCTATGAGAGTTGGAGTATATAGCTCCCTGTGTACAGTGGGCAAACCATTCAGGGTAGCAATTCGAGAATATTTATGTCTATGTACGGCCTACTCTACTGTACTTATCCGCTCATATATTTGTTATCAGAAATGGAAGATGCCAGATTCAACATGCATCTCCACGGTCCCATCTCATAAGCGACGATCCACGAGGTATAAGCTGGGCGGTTCTAGCCAACGATGCCGTGTGAGCTAATGAGGTACAGATCAGCCCAACAGTGACCTGAAAGGATAAGCTGCATAACCGTCAGCCGCACGAGACCCACTTGGATCAAGTAGGAACGGAGATTCAGTGCCCTTTCAGGAAGATTCCCTCTTCTATCCCGGAGTAACGGAGAAACATATCGGTCTTTGGTTAATATTCAGCGGCAGCAGGCATGGGAAACAACACTTGAGGTTAACTCATGCGTAGATCGGTTTATCCAAACTGGTAAGCCGGGATCCCTGTAACCAATGGCTGCCGTTCGGAGATACAAAAATTACGGTGATAAAAGACCCTTAGCTTGTATACATTACGTATTTGCACTTTCCATCAGTCTTTAGCTCCTCCCGGTCTCATCGCAGAGGTAAAGCGCGACAATCTTCACCTTTTGGAGACGCGCATTTAGCACAACAGGCCTCCAAAAGAACGAAACTTAGATTCGCGCACTGTCTCCAGCTCATTGAGGCTGAGGTTGCAATCAAGGTTGTAGAGGCCTGGCTCATGGGTAGGCATAATGCCTGCTGCGATTTTTACCGTTGCCGTCACAGAATCTTGGATTTGGCTGCTCAGCGGGATTGCAATAAACCTTCAGGGCTCCTCATCTGGACTTATGAAGAGATTATGTCTTGGATATTCCCTGCAATAGGGCCCTCGGATGAACGCTATGATTATAAAATTGTCGAAAATCATCCAAATGCAGACTATTTCAAGAGGGATTGCCGTTCCCTTATCAGTGTTTCTAAACATAGAGCAACTGAAGACTGAAATGTTTCTCTCCGTTAATTCATGCATCGTACGTCATACTAAGACGTCCAGGTCGAGAACTTTCTGCACTATCAATGATACATGGCAGTACAATTTTGATTTTGCGGTTTGTTACAGGCGAACTGTTGTTGCTGTTGTTGTTCTCGATGTATACGCTGACCCCTCGCCGGAGCGATATGCAGGGTAGTACTATGTCTACTCTCTATGTACATCCATTCATCGTGAACTATAACTTTTCTAACAAACTTGGAGCCTCGTCAAGGCCTGTGGTGGCCGGTGCCGACTTGAAAGTATGATGTTTCTATAGCATCCACATCTAAATAAACCTATAGGTTAAGATATACTTAACTGGGATTCTGAAGGATAAGCGAAAGCGGGCTGTAGGAGGAACTTCTACAGGAACCAACCATCAAGAACTATACTTGCTATCTGTATTAACCCTGCCTCATCTCTTAATCGAAAGCTGGGAAATTTTTATTGGCAAGCTTTGCCTGCTGTTTCTCACCCAAGGACACGTCCAGGAATATGCCACTAACCCTGAAAATACAACTTTCTCGATTGTGAGAAGTACCCAAAAGAATTAGTCAAATACCGAATGGGGTCTAGTAGTGCTCGTTAGACTCATAACCTCATTTAGCTAATCAACAGCATCATCATCATTTGTTTATACTATCCTGTGAAAAGATGGATCTTATACTGGAGGGAGTAGGGGCTGGGGGCTACAACACTATCTAATGATAGCTAAGCGAAAGACCTATGCCCCAGGGAAACGGCGCCAGTTCCAACAAATCCTCCCCTTCGCCTCCAATCCTGATTGAATTTGCCCCTCGTAGGGTGATCCTTCCTTTTCCATATGATTTTCATATCAATTGCAGCAGCTCGATGCGTACAGTCGAATAGACAGGGCAATACCTCGCTAGGTAGTGGACCTTATCTCACTGATTGCCAAAATAAAGCTGTCGGAGAAGCCAGATTATTCTCTGTCCAGAAAGCCCTTGGGAAGGTCATCCGCCTGCAGGACTAGCAGGCGTGGCTTGGGAGATATCATACCGATAGACATCAGCAGTTGTGTTTATCGCTGAGCACCTGACAAGGGCATATAACCACGCCGCTGCAAGAAACCAGCTCCGCAATAGGCACTTCACCCGGAAGCTCGGGCAACCCATGACTCACCTGAGTCGCTGATTGTCCCAACTCTGACACTAAAAATCCTCGGATGTCTTTATCGCGAATTTACCTGCACAACAGCGAAGGTCAACAAACGGTATTTCTGTGCCCATGAAACCCCTCAGAGGAAGAAAAGTGGGCTCTAACGCCGACTTTCAATGCTCGTGCCAGGTTGCTGTCATTGGACCACTCCCGATTCTACTACAGCATCTATATCGCCGAGCTTTCTGTACAATGTCCTTCAACGTTTCTAACCTATCGCCAAGAGCTATTAGCCACTCGAGACCACCTCACTTATATCTTATATATAACCGGAATTCTTGTAGATCCCACTGACAGCTAATTTCTTTTTCCAGATAACCTCTTTTCAATACCACTCCAAACTTAATCCCAAACTGAGACTCTTGATTCATGCCATTATAGCTCGAGCAGACCATCATTTCCAGAGTGTATCTATCTTTTACTAACACCATGCAGCTTCGAAACTCTCCCATAAAAGGATCGGAGCAGATTCAATGTTGAATCACGGCTCCTTCATTCTCAATTCTTCACTATTCTTCTTCAACGTTAGGTCTCAAATATGCATAATTTTGTGTGGGATTAGCAGTCCAAGTAAAATTCTGATAAATGAGAGGACTCAATCCACTTCTGTTCATTGGAGTACTCATCTAGCAGGTGCCTATAGTCTTATGATAGCTTGGGGTAGTTACATCTAAAGGTACATTATATATTTATTCTTTTAGTACCATGGAAATATCTCTCGAAATATACAATAATCTCACAGTCGAACATGCTTGTATCGTGGTTGAGGTTCGTGCCGGCTACCACTGCCGCCATGACTTACAATTTGGACTCCCTCATCCTCATATTGAGCAGCTAGTTCGTCCTGAGTTATTCCTCTGGGTTTGAGTAGCACGTAAATTTTGGAGATCGTAATATCTCTAATATCTACAGCCAAAAATATTGCATACCGTCTCATTGCGCGAGGAATGCCACTGTCTGTTGGAATCGAACTTGAAGACCTGGCTATTATACTTCAGGCGGATGACCAGCTCAATTTCTGCTTCACAAAACTTGCGATATCCAAAAACCTCTAAGATCAGATTGTCCTTTCGTCGAGTACGTTGTTCGTATGTGGGTCGCGTGCTGCTGTATCTCAGTCAGATATTTCTTTTCTCGTCACCATTTCATTGATCGGGTTTTTGCAACTTTGTCGAGGTCTAGTAGACCAGACCCGAGGGCTTGTGGACTAGAGATTTATCTTTCGAATAAATAAATGACGTATTGGACGTTGAGTCTGCAACTCTTATAGCGCGAGGAAGACGCGCAACAGCAAGGTCGGGCGAAGTGGAAAAGTTGCTTCGACAAGGGATGAGGGCCACGATTTCGAGCGCTACGTACCATATTTTCGAGGGTCCAGGTCCGCCCGCAACAGCATTCTATATTGTACTTATTGAGACGGCTTTTCGAACCCTAAGCCCGAAAGTCTAACCTTATTATCAAAATTTCCTATTAGTCTAAGCATAGCTGACCAATATTTCTCGCATAATTTGGGATGGAGGAATTGTTTATTACCTATAAGATTTCATTATTGATTTCACGAGAGATTAATATCTCTTGGATTTCATTAATACCCTGTTGAATAGCAACTGGAACAGACTGAAAGCTGTATTCGTTTAATTATCTAGCTAGCTTTAAATTTGCTCCTGCCACATAAAATGTAATAATAAAATAAGAAGTTTTAGGATTTCTATCAAGCTCTTTCTGGACTAAACTGACCTCAGTGGTGGATATGACTTTGTCGAATCCGTACTGAGTAGCGGATAGTAATGAGGACTAGGCTAAATCGGCATTCATGATGACTCTGAGTATTCAACTGACAGAGGCTTGATCGAAATGGGTAGAGAATGTAAGCTGGGTTATTCATGGAGTTCTTTAAGACCCAGAACAGAGTCTAGTGTAGTCCTAAGCTTGGAGACGTGATAGTCATTGGTTTACATATCTCTCGTGCGCTCTCCTATCATGGTGGTATTTCTTAATACTCAGCTGCTAAGCTCCAAACCTGGTACTGTCGCCATTGCAGCTTCGTCGTCAAAGCATGTTAGCTCCAATTTTCCTTTCCCTCTTGAGAGAGTCTCTGAGTATCTAGGTTGGACATTACGTAACCGGTAGCGATAGTTGACACCCCGAGCCGAGCTGGCTAGCTTTTCGAGGGTGGGTTGTTCTTGGGTTCTGGTCCCTATCTATATTCATTGTCATGATTGGCCCGTGCCACTTTACATGCTGCGAGGCCCCACAAGCCATGTTCCTGAATGATCAAACCCCGGAGTGCACTAATGTATGATCTTCTCAGCTGGAAATGTTTGTTCCACGGCTAGGAGAGACGACTGAGTAATATTTGGCTAAATAATGACTAGATACTTATTCAGGGTAGTTATTGGCTAGATAGTCGATATTAACTACCCACCTTCTCACTGGGACACCCTGCCTCTGGGTCTGCAATGCTGATTGGCAAATACATGGAGATAGCTTGGTCGTCCAGATCAAATCTATGCAAGTTCTTCTTTGCATAGACACATGTGCTGGAAGCAGAATAATTTCCGCAAAGCCCAAGAGTCCTAGGTTACACCGGCGTTCATTACTAATACCCATGCGTTTTCAAGCTAATCACCTGGCGCGAGATACTAAGTGACAATATTTGCCGTGTCTTCCGTGTCATTCCTAGTCTAAATACTCCCATGCCAGCTGGGCAAGAAGTGGAACCAGCGCATTGTTAACCAGTCAAGCAGCGCTAAATTAAAATGGTAGACAAACAGCAGCATGGTTTTCGCGCCACAACTGATTTTGCAGGACGGGAGTAGTCGTTGGGCGGATGGAAGGACGAGTGGACGGCGGCACAGGTTCTAATATAGTAAGTATTAATATGACTAGAAATTCATGATCTGCCCTTCAGAGTATATTGACGAGCTTATAACACCGGAGAAGTGTTTTGTGTTGATAGAAAGCGAAGGGTCCACTTTAGGTACAAATATATCTGAATCCGTGAGTTTAATATTTTCTATGCATTCTTGATAGACACTCTGCTACAGGCTAGCAATGGATGTGACTACTAGTAGTAGCAAAGGTAACTGCTGTAGATCGTGCTATAATATAGCTTCTATGAGAGCCTAGAGCTATTCCTAGTCTATCTTACCCTGCCAACCTTTATCTCAAATATGGAATGGACCAGTTGCATCAGCTTTCGTGACCAACGATTACATAATCCTGCCAATGACTGCTTTGTATGAGAATACAACTGGGTATTACATTTGTAGGGTTCACCTAAGATCTTTTGGAACAGTTTTCCATGATATAGGCTACCTCAGTGCCAGCGCCTTCCTTCTACCGGTGCAGTGTGGTGGTGGGCGAGTAGTAGTCATGGTAGAGAAAGAATTAATCCACGTGCAATTGGAAGAATGTTTTTTTGTATAAGTCTGGCTAGTCAGTATATTAATCATCCAGTCATTATCTCCCCTGTTCATGACACAGGTATCCACAAAATCATGGGTCACATGCTTATGTTTGTTGCCTATTCCATGCCCGGAACGGAGTAGCAGGGATGCAGAAGGGCGGCGAATAACTTGCATTTTCACAGCGGCAAGGTGACGGGATTAATAGGAATCAAACGCACAGCCAGTTGAAATGGTCGAAAGCTAGGTGCTTGCGGTTTACATGGATATAGATACCTGGTGACTATGTGTCGCTAGTTGATGCCGATGAAGCATACGTGTATCCTATTCTAGCCGATTCATGTCCCAGTTTTCATTAGGGATATCCTATCATCCTAGGTTTTTCGAGTTGACCAATTTAGTAATGTAAACCCCATCTACAAGAAGTCTAGAGATCTTCTTTCTTGAGCGTTCTTGAACGGTGGTATAAGAGGTTTTTTCTCAGTAACATGTGACTATTCTATTACATCTTTCGTGAATAATAATAATAATTATTATTATAATTAATTAATTGATGAGAAACTTGCGAAAACTTCTTAAACAGCTCTTAAGCTCCCACGGCAAGTAAATTAGTATTACTAGTATTGAATATTATTCTGTCCAGCTGCCCTGACTCTTATCCTTTCACAGGGCGGGATAAAGCTTACTAGTTACCTATCCCCCCTCTAGAACTCACATGCCGCACATCCGCATGTCCGAAGTCAATCTAGTCTCTGAACGGTGGGTTGGAGGACAGGTCAGTTGAATCTTGATTCGAAGATGTTTATACTACTCCGATCATGCTAAAGGTTAGTTGATCTGTTGATGCATCCCGACCGGCCAGCAATCATTCTCGCGCGACTTTGATGGGTCATGTCCCATTTTTGGTTGAAGGAGTCTCACAGCTTTTGAATTATCTCCGCATTCTTCAAGCTTAACATTTCCAGTTGTGGAGGGTATAACATGGCTAGGGTTGGAAATAAACCAACGGATGGAACTCTCATTAGTAGCATACCAAAAACCGTGTCACGGCAATGGTGGGCGGACGGGATATCACGATATTGAGGGGGAAAGAACAATAGCAAGGCGGTCTGCTTTTACCCGCCACCACATTGACTTGAGCTTCTGTCAATCCAACCACCTCAGTCGCTCTTGACATTTGAGTTCTTGTTCTCTGTAGTTTCGATTGTTGCTGTACTCGCAATTGCCATTAGCTTTTACTTCTTTGTCTACTCGTAGCTACTGCCTACTGTTGACCTGTACCAGGAAGCCACATGGCGTTGCTATATATTCTGCTCCTGCTCGGTTTTCGAACCTCCCCATGTGATGATACTATAGGCTCCTGAGACATTTCCCTCCACACAGAAAAATGTCTAAGAACCATTCTGTCCTAATTACCGGCTGCTCTGATGGCGGTCTCGGCTCCCATCTTGCCCTCCAATTCCAGGCAGCCGGATGGCGCGTCTTTGCCACAGCTCGAAATTTGTCCAAGCTCAAGGAGGCCAAGAAGTCGGGTCTTGAAATAATTCATCTCGACACCCTGTCTGACGACTCCATCCGCAAATGCGTTGCTAAGGTTAGTGAGCTGACCGGCGGATCACTTGATGCGCTGGTCAATAATGCGGGCGCTGGATACTCAATGCCAGTCATGGATATCGACATCCAAAAGGGGCGTGATCTTTTCGAGCTCAATGTCTGGTCTATCATCAGTGTGACGCGGGCATTCCTTCCACTTCTCATGCGGTCAACTCGTGAAGGCGGCGCCCTGCTCATTAACCATGGCTCTCTTTCTGGAACCATTGCAGCCACAGGCCCCTTTGCAGGTGTATACAATGCCTCCAAGGCAGCAGCAGCTAGCTTCACGGAGAATCTACGATTAGAGCTGCAGCCGTGGAATATTAGAGTCATCAACTTGCTAACGGGTGCTGTCCGATCCAATTTTCACGTCAATGCGCCACGTCCTGGGTTGCCGCCGAATTCGCTATTCAATATTGCCAAGGACATCGTTGAACAAGCCATGGATAATTGCGATGATTCCGGTGATACTGATCCTGCCACATGGGCGCGGCAAGTTGTGAAGGAGCTCAGCAAGCGCAGTCCGGCGTACTGGATCTGGCGTGGCAAGTTCTCGACGTTGGTGAGGCTGGGTAACATTCTCCCATTGGGGTTCTTCGATCGCACAATGAAGAAAATGGTAGGACTTGATGTGATTGAACAAAGGGTCAGACAGCAAGAAAGATCTTCTTGAATAATTCGTGAAATACCCCTATAGTGACGGATTAATTTGCGAATTGGGCGTTAGGCCAGGCCCACAAGACATACCCCTCTTTGCATACATCACAGTGAACAGGGAGGGCAAGAGGCTTATTGTTTCAGATGGCATGAATCGAGTACGGTAGTATGGCTAATTACATGATTTATATTGCTAAGATGTCACCTTTGCTATTGTGTTGTATTCGTAGTAAGGCCCGAGTGCCAAGACCTAAATCTGTTCCCATAATGGACTCGGCGTGTTGGAATTCTTCGGGAATGTACAAGGAAGCAAAAGCTAAGTAGTAGAACACCCCCGACCTATAGTGGTTAGTTCAGTTGCAGCTCATCGAACTTCCAATATTAGTGCACAGTATTTATCTCGATATTCTGCCCCGATTACACCCAAGCTTTTTTAATGCCCGGATCAATCAGTCGTTACTTGGCATGCGGGGTTACACTGATGTGACTATTATTGGTACGCGTCCATCGTCCACGATGAATTGTATACCTTTGCATTGTGCCCCAAATATACCGTAGTGATGAATGTACTTATTTAAGCGCTTACCATGCGATGAGGCCAGTCGGAATATATCGCTGCTGTGTTTGTTTAATCACTTCACTGCCCAGTATATCATCTGCAGAGGGAAATCGTTTTGCCTGCTGTCATGCATACTCCTTCGGCCCATGGCATGAGGCGGTGAGTCGGGTTACTGAAACAGTGGAAACCAATCGATAGCACGGCCCAACGCCGCTCGTTCGACTCTCTGGGTTCAGTTCGCACGTTCTTGGGAAACCCGATTGGAACTGTTGTTTGAAATTCCAGGACAATCCCTCTGGGTCGCAGCTATGAGCATTTCGCCCCCTCCCACTCCATCAAGGGCTCCAACGGATGATGAGTGGAGATTCGAAGCTATTACATTACCCTGCGAGTGGATCGAGGATTACCATCCAAGTGGTTATCACCCCATCATTCTCGGCGACACTTTCAACAATGGTCAGTACAAGGTTATCCGGAAGCTCGGTGAGGGCTCATACTTAACGGTTTGGCTCGCCCATAACGAGAAGTGAGCTTATATTCACTGTTCCTACTGTGCGATGGTCAAATGGCCTTCATTGATACCCTTCCAGAAACACTAGATATGTCGCTTTGAAGATTCTTGTGTCCCATCAAACGGGATCGACAACCGAGCTAGACATCTTACGACATATCACTAAAGCGGCGCCAATAGAAGCTGCCGGCCACATCACGGGACTGCTAGACGAGTTCGAACACTCCGGCCCCAACTGTGTCCACAAATGCCTTGTATTTGAGCCTATGGGCCCGAGTGTGAAGCGTTCGATGGTTGAAGAGCTACCCCAGTTCAAACCCCGGATGTTTGGAATGAAGGTACGCTATCCGCCATGGATGGCGAAAAGCATTCTGAAGCAATCATTGGAAGCTCTAGCATTCTTGCATCGAAATGATATTGCGCATGGAGATTTTCAGCCAGGAAACATCCTCTTCACTCTAAAAGATCTCAACTCAATGCCGGAAGAAGTGCTCCAGCAAGAGGAAAATGTAGAAGCTGAGTCGATCTCACCCCCGGTACAGAGGCTAGACGGCAAGCAAGACAAATGGGCGCCTCGGTATCTTTGCGTTGCGCAGCCTCTGTCGCCCTTCACACATTACGCTGAAGGCTTTAAGGTCAAATTGTCCGATATGGGCGGCGGTCAGTCCCACTTGTTCCTAATATTCATTCCATGCTCCTTACGATTATTACTTGTACTCATTCTTGCCTATCATGAACAGCATATTTCTTTTCAAAGCCCCCAGAAAAACCCGTCACTCCCCTTGGCCTTCGGGCTCCCGAGCTTATTCTGACTGGAGCCGTTAATAACACGCTTGACATTTGGAGTTTCGGCTGCCTTATTTTTGAGCTTATCACCGGAGAGCCGCTCTTCTGCGTTCCAGGATCCGAATATGAAGATGATGATCATCTTCTCTCCCTTACAGAACGGCTCGGTGCCCTTCCTGATGATTTATTCACGCATTGGAAGACCTCCTCGCTTTACTTTACGCCTGAGAGGAAGCTGTTTAATTGTCAAATCGGAGGAGTCGGTCCGGAAGAGGAACCACTTTTGGTGGATCAGATATCCATGGAGGAGCAGTTCGACTCGACGGAGCCGGATATTGATTCGAAGGAAGCCGACGACGTGAAGGGACTCATTCAATGGATTTTACAGTATGATCCTGCAAAGAGGCCATCTCCTGCCGAGATATTGTCACATCCATGGTTCCGCAACATTGATGTTGGGCGCGTGTAATAGAAGGGACTCATTGACGGATAATACTGGTCTCTGCTGTTCTTCTCCCTTCCCATTTTTAGTTCATCTATTGTGGTGTTTCATTTTTTGTATGATACCGCGGAAAATACTTAAAGGAAGATCTGAGCGGGCCTTCGAAGCCCACAGCTAAACTCTGTTTCATTGGGCGTGGGAACGCGTAGTCGGTATTCCTTGCATGCTGGGAAACCTTCACCAACCAAATAAGCTAGTGTACTCACAGTCTTGGTATGAGCTCTCCTTATTCATGGCGGCTGTTGGTTACTGAGTAAATGTAGCATTTTAGTATTGCTACTTTCTGTACGCTGCTCAAAGTAGCGGCCAAGTCCTTGTGGAGGGGTTGGTCACTTCTTCGACACACGCCATATGAGGTGCACTCCATTCTCGTTTCTCATTGCAAACTACTCTTACAATTTGCCTTTGTTTGATCTTGTTTAAGGTTTGCCCAAGTAACTGTACACAATCAAGCTATGTTCTTGCTTGGCAAATGAAAGTATCTTTTGAACCCAACGGGTGCCGTGTCCTTCACTCGGATAACACTGTGGCACAGCTTACGCACTGCTCAGAGTATTACCAGCGTTCGAAGGAACACTACTCTCAATCGAAGATGCGGATGCAGCTGGAGCAATGGTCAAGTTTTCAAAGTCGACAAAGAATCCATCGTCATCGTAGTCGAAAGAACCAGAGCTGGTATAAGCATTGGTGACGCAGTCTCTTCCCAAGTACGTCTCGCATTGGCTTAGATCGGCTGACTCGGAGCTGAACAGCTGGCCGACAAAGCCGCTCTGTACAATCGTGGGGACATTGTTGAACCAATTGCCTTCAAAGAGTCCCATTCCGTTGTCGGTGCCTTCGATAGCGTGTCCGCTGTTATCGGCCCAGACATTGTTGACTGCGTGGAACAGCGTATTGCCGCTGAGGGCAGGACTGCGGCCAGAGGTATAGTAGACGTAGTTCTCTGGATTTGTCATTAGTTCAAATGTAGTTCAGTTATTGGGCTGCAGGTGCAGCCAGTTGGGACTCACTGTAAAAGGTGATGAGATCACTAGAGCCGACCAGCTCGAGGCCCCAGTACGTGTGTCCATCACAGGTAGCAGAGTAGTTAGTCTTCCCGTTTATAAAGCTGTTGGAAATTGTAATGGCATTGTCGCTCTCTTGTCCGAAGCTGTAGTGCTGGCGACCTAGGGAGGAAGTGGTGACATGGTCGATCCAAATCTGGTTGGTGTCGGAGAATGTAAGAGCATCGCCTCCCCAGACATATTTCGGGTTGAGGTTGGTGATCTCGATGTTCTGAATGATGATGTTGGAGACGCCCACGAACCGCAGCCCCTTACCATTGAGCACAGCGCCTGTTCCTTTGCCGACCAGAGTTTTGTCTGAGGCGACATTGATGCCCTCGTACCCTGCAACGTCGATGGTCACGTCATAGGTTGAGGTGTCACCACATCCACCAAGCGTGTTAAGAATGGCCTGTCCGCCGTTATCGGGAGTGCAATCATAAATGTTACAGGCCTGATAGGTTTTGGTGCCCTCAGAACCCACAAAGTCGAAAGTGCCCTCGATAACAATGTTCTGGGGCGAAGAAGAGGTGAGGTACTCTTTCAGCTCGTCGATCGTTGTCGGATAGACAGGGGTCGCGTCGCCTCCTCCCGTCACGCCCGCCGCAAAGCCGGGGGCACTCCCAGAGACAATAGAAGACTGCGCTGCCTTGGAATGATGCGCGAAGACCATCAAGGCGATAATGGTGGACGGAAGGTCAGGCCTCATATTGGAAAACGCGGTGTATAACCAGAAAATTAATCTGTTGAGGTAGACTATGTGAGTAGCTGTGGGCGGGGGTCCCTACAGTGCATTTATGCTACTAGCTTGCCGAGGGGATACAATTCACATCCTTGGTTTTGAGGGGCTGTTTGCCTTCAGCTGCTATATTGAAAACAGTATCCGTTGGCCGTATATCCTGTTATTTCCCGCACAAATCTTTGATTGGGTGTTCGAGCTAGATCCACCAACATGGTTGTAGCAAGTGGGCATGTGTTCTTCACTAAATATATCAACTGCCAGGATTGATATCATGTCGCTTGAATTATCGGCTAGTCACAGACTGTCAACCAAAATAGCATAAGGGATTGCAGCACGATGCGGACAATGCTCCGTGCCAAACACCGGATCCCTCGTGTCGAGTCCCGGAAACCCCGTGTCTCATCCAAGCCCCCACTCGGCACGGAAGGTGTCCAGTCCGAACGTTTCCAACGAAAGAACCCCCTTCCGCATTGAGCTCGACGTATGTTATTGATGCAGAAGTTTCTGTCCTAGATCGACTAGTCCCCCCGGGAAAGCACTCGAAGAAGTTTCGATTAACAGGACATAATCAATATGCTCCGATTGTCGTAATGATAGGATGGCTCTGTAGTATATGCCGGGACGGTCGGCGGGGCGCCAAGCAGGGACCCTTACCGAACTGACCGGCTCTAGCGGCGTTTAGTTGTTTGAGCATTGCCCACACAACCCAAGGAGACCTTCTCTCCTTTTTTTTTTTCACTCATCATACTTTCGGGCGCTCGATTTTGGCATTCATCCTGGTACAATTCTCGTAATATCGTTATCTCAGAGCATACACACACGAGCTGCGGGGTACAAACACTTGCAAGGTGATATATTCTTATCAAAGGACTGGAGGGCACTCTCCGCAGCAGGAGACGACTACGTACATCGAATCTGGTGTTCCACATAGAGATCGAGTGCCAAGATGTAGCTGGAAAGCTCCGGTGGGGAACACATGTGTCACAGTGCCACAAGTTCACAACCCACCCACCCCTATGTTGTGTTAACGCTGGGGCCCGGCAGACAGTCGGACACCCCACCCAACCCGGGAAAATAGAGCGATGATCTCCTTCCTCATTATTCCAAAGGCGCCGTCATGTCGGGCTATTATCACTTTCTCGGAGTCGAGCCCCGTGCCAATGCGATGTTTCATGTGATCCGTTGTCTGTAAATATATTGCTCGCTCTGGAGCCAAAGTTGTTCGATTTACTGAAATACTCCTAGAGTGGATGAGTCCGGAGTGAAGGAAGCATAGTCATCTGTACTAAAGAGCAAACCCATAACAGGATATTAGCCAACCACGACCTCCATTATTTCAGGGATCCAGTTGAAGAAAGGGTCTTCATGGTCCTTGCCATCCTGACCTCCTCAACCACTCCTGGAATGTACTAGCCCGCACTCTAAGATCCGCCCAGGAGCAATCCTCCTGGGGGGTCATGGTCCCATAGCAAATCTTCTCATCTGGCGCAACAGCAATCCATTCCATCATCTGCCTGATGTCCTCTTCATATCCCTTCCCAACCGTCCTTGCGACTGTGGCACCCCAATCATCTAGACTGATAGGATCGAAAATTGCCGGTTGATATCGCACGGTCGAAAAAATGGCCGGAAGATCAGCAAAGCGCATCTTAGAGCTGACCACTGGATATACTTTAGAGGCCGTCTTTTCAGGTCCAAGAGAGAACACTTCTACTTTTTTGACAGCCGTTAGCTACTACCGTAAGATATAACGAGGGTAGATTGTGGTATTGGGCCCAACGTGCCAGCTGCATATATGCCGATATCATAGCTTGGATCGGTCCAATCTGCAGTTTTGTTCCCGGGAACCGGCGGACAAAAACGGACGATCCCGTTTTCTACACAACGACGATGATTAGTATTGCCGCAATGTTACCCGTGAACATGGATACACCTACCGTTTCGCCGGCAGTATTGCACCCATTGTACATTCGTGTAAAACAGCCCTTCGCGCGGCACATCAAGTAAGCCTAAGTCCAGGCACATCGGATCCTCTCGGGATGAGCCACTCACCAGGCCGCAAAGCCGTCACGGCAATCAACTCGCTCTTTGCGAGTTGCTCAATTTGAAATTTATGGTCGAAATGGAATACCTTTTGAAAACGCCCCTTGCTGGCGTCCGCCAGATTGGGTAGACTGCTGATAACAAAATGACGCACCCCAGATACTTTGGCGGCGGCCACGATGTTCCTTCCCGCTACCAGCTCATGCTCAAGGTCCTCTTCGGTATCAATCAGTTGCCCGGGAATGCGATTATTTGTGACTGCAAACACGCCCCAGACCCCGTCGAAGGCATGCTCTAGGCTTGTGACGTCATAGACGTTGCCAGGCACGAGCTGTAGTCGGCCAGAGACTTCTTCTTCTGGATAGACGGCGCGAAGTCGTTCTGCTTGGGGGGAGCTGGGATCACGTGTCACAGCACGAACGCTGAACGAGGCTGGGTTAAGCGGGCGTTTTTGCAATAAGGCACGGACAACTCCGCTCCCTTGGTTGCCCGTTGCGCCCAGCACGGCGATAATGCGTGGGGTGGTGGTCGATGTTGTCATGGTTGAGAGACAGATGGTTGGCTAGAGTATTTGTCTGATTTCGCGGTCAATAGTGGGTGTAATCCTGGAGGGACAGTTGCGATCGAGAAGTTCCGAGGCCATACATGACTTAGCCTTCGCATTTGGAATAGAATGATTTGGCCAGTCATTGTAAAGTAAATGGAAATCCGGCGCGGTCGGAATTACGGAACAGACTGTTGCAAATCGAGGCCACGCATCTTGGATGTGCGGGTAGACCCCACCCCACCTTTAAACCAACCAGCGAGCGATAGTCGTGGACAAGGCAATAAACTGCCTGGTATGATATGAATGACCCCGATTCTCCACGGAACCCGGCGAGACGAAAATGATGCTGCTTAGTCATATATCCGGACACTAAGGGACTAGTTAACCTTGCCGAGGATGTGGTCAGCAGGTCGGATATGGGCAAGCGAATCACTGCCGATAAAACTTCTCGGCGATGCAATGTGATTCTACCTCATGCTTACGTTTGAAGACTTCCCGTGTATTGCACTTTCCTCGTATAATGGGCAAGGGAGATCTAACGGATTTGTAGTCAGTAGTACAGCGATGGGCCAGATTTATAAACCAATCCGCTGAATGAGAACCTAGCATTTATATATAATTGAACCCATCAACTGTCAGAGTGCACGACACGAGCTTCACCCGGAAAGAGGCATACCTCCCGATCTATACAACTAAGGACATAT